GAACCCTAAACAGAGAATTTAACTTTAAGATGTCTCAGATTAGAAATGTACCCAAGTGGTAGCAGAAGCAAAAGTAAATTCTCTGGAAGAATCCAGGACAATAGTGATCAATTATGAAAATCACCCCAATTTCAGATATGTTAAAATGTGAAAAAAGGTCCATCTCAGAATCAATGGAATTCAGTTTCATTTTCTTAGCACTATCCCAGGTGCTCACCCCCTCTCTTCCCACACTGACACAAGCCATGTATGGGCTGGACCCTTCTCTGCCCTGCCCATTTTCAAAGACCCAGCGGAGCGCCTGACCTAGACCAGGTGCTCAATAAATACTGCTGAGTGAGTTAAAAGGTGGCATGATGGAGAAAGAGGGAAATGGGGAGCTGTTCCATAAGTATAGAGTTTCAGTTTTGTGAGATGAAAATGTTCTAGAGGTCTGTTGCACACTGAGAATATAACATTATTCTCATACACTTACACTTGTTATGGGAAATTTCATCTTATGTGTTCTTTTATCACAGTTAGAAAAAAGGTAGCATGATGGGATAACTAACCATTCAATAAACACGCCATGTGCCAGGATACAATTAACAGTATTTACCCAGCATTTAAATGCAAGGTACTGGACCCCTGTAACCCTCACAGCATCCCTATGATGCAGTCCTAGCATTATATTCATTTTAAGGCAATCGCAGTTTAGCAGAGAAACAAACAGCAACCAGTAATTGCATTAACAAGGTAGTAAGAGCTGTGATATTCTATACATTTAGACTCTCAATAACAAATACCCTGATGATTTAGGAAAAATCACTATTCCAGGAAAAACAGATTAACACACTATTAAAATAACTAAAGTAAAAAAGCATTTGGTGAAACCACCCTTCAGATCTCCAGCCCATACCTGTGCTTGGCTTCCTGTTGTGCTGCATCTCCAGGATCCTGGAAATATAATTTTATCTTTTAGTTGAGTAACTAAATACACAGAGGAAAAATACAATTATTCTGACCGGTTTCTGATAATAGGCTCCTGCAGTGGTAGAGATCAACTTATTGACAAATAATTAAAAGCTGGGCCTCCAAGAAGTCAGTGGGATAGTCTCCACTGCTTAAGCCCTAGCCAGTCTGGCCCAGGGCATGGAGCATGGGCCTGGGGACCAAGGCTCCCTGGTTGGATTCCTGTCAAGGGCACCTATCTCTGTAGCAAGCTCTTCCCCAGCCCTTGCAGAAGGCAACCACTGGATGTGTTTCTCCCACACCCAGTTTCTCCCTTTCCCTCTCTCATCCTCTCCCTAAAAATCAATGGGAAAAATATCCTCGGGTAAGGGTTAACAAAAAAAAAGGTTGCATGTTCAATTCCCATTCAGGGCACATAACCTAGGTTTGCAGATTTGATTCCCGGTCGGAACCGAACATCGAAGTTTTTCTCTCCCTCCCCATCCCCGCCCCCCACCTTTCTCTCGCTCTAAAATCAATAGATCATGTCCTCGGGTGAGGATTTTAAAAAAATAAATAAAAACCAATGCACAAATAAGTGGAATAACAAAATTGACGCTTCTCCCTCTCTAAAGTCAATGAAAATGTAACAATTTTAATAAATGTTTTGATAAGCTCCTAAAGTCACAATCTAATAGAATGTTTTGGAATACAAACCACCATTGGGAAGGGGAGTCCCTGTACAATGAACCCGCACTTTATGGGCTAAGTTCGGGGGGCGGGGAGGGGACGTGCAGGACGCTGGGGACGCCGATTCCAGTGGCACCTCCTGGGAGACGACCGCGTCCCCCATCACAGCCATTCAGTCCCCCTAGAGGACGGAGTCTGTGGGACTCGCGTTTGGGGTCTGGCTCCTGCCGGCCGTCACTCCGTCCCCTCAGCACCGAGCGCACAGCGGACCTTCGACAAACGGTCGGTTACGTGGACCGAATTCTAGAAAACAATCCCGCTGGAACCAGCAGAGGAAACCGGCCAGGTCTCCAAGCTAAGGATACAGAGCGGAGGAGCCAAGCATTCCGCTTCGAACCGAGACCTCTGAGGCGAGCCCCACCCAGCCCGCGGGGCCCCGCGCCGGGCCCACCCCAACGCGGAGAGCACGTGCGGCCGGCCGCCGCCCAAGCCCACGCGATGGGCGGGGTGGGGGTAAGGGAGGGGCGGCCCCGCGGCCTCGGGGGCGGCCGCGGGTTCTCCGCCAGCGGCCGAGCCCCGGCCCAGGCGCCCTGAGCCGCAGCCCGGAGCCCAGCCCTCCACCTCGGGCGAGGGCGGCGCCCCGCAGGACGGTAGGCCGGACGGGCGGCGCTCACCCCGTGCTTGGCCTGCAGCTCCGCCAGCCTCTGCTTCCGCAGAGCCTCCAGCTCCTCCTCCGCCATGGCGCGACCGTCGGGGCCGGACAGCCGCCACCCCGCTCCGGCCCGCTCCGCGTTACCGCCCTCGGCCGGGCCTGGTGAACGCGGCCCTACCCACTGCGCAGGCGCCGCAACTCCCAGGCATCACCAATCCAGCGCGGAGCCGCGCCGGCCGACGTAGCCAGGGCGCCTGGGGAGGCCCGATTCCGCGATCGCAGGGGTCGCCCGGGGCGGGGCGGTCGGCGGAACTGAGCACCTACTAGTGGCCTTCTCCGGCGCCGCCCCGGCCCTGCCGGAGGACGCTGTGCACGGCGGGCATCACGGGGCTAGGGCTTGGCTGCGCAATCTAAACACAGCAAGTAAAAAAATAATAAATAAATAATAAACACAGCAAAAAGCAAAATTTGTTGGTGGCCTATTATGTGCTAAACTCGCCTTGTTTCCATTTATAGATGAAGATCCCGGGCCTCAGAAAGGCTAAGTGGGGTGATGGAAATGTTCTAAGACTGGACTGTGGTGAGGGTTGCACAACTCTTAAATTTGTTAGAAGACATTAAATTGTATACTTAAAGGGGCGCCAAAGGCGTAGATAGAAAAGACTCGCTGGTCATCTGGCCATTAAGAAGCCTAGTTAGCCCTGGCTGGTTTGACTCAGTGGATAGAGCGTCGACCTGGAGACTAGGGGAGGGGGGCAAGAGGAGGGGAAGGAAGGGTCGGGGAGGGATCCCAGGTTCAATTCAGGTCAGGGGCACGTTGCCTTGGTTGCGGGCGCATCCCCAGTTGGGGGTGTGCAGGAGGCATCCCACATCCGGTCAATGATTCTCTCTCATTGATGTTTTTAACTCTCTACCCTTCTCCCTTCCTCTGTAAAAATCAATAAAATATATTTTTAAAAAGCCTAGTTAAAGCAAACTTGGAGGGTGAGACTTGGAAACAGACAGGCTCTTTGGCACGGGGGACTGTGGGGTGTGATCTTCTGGACATTCACTTCCCCACCAGGGCCTGGCTGAGGCTGTTGGAGAGGGCAGCCGGGGCTGGGAACTCCATGGCGGAGGGTTGAGGGGAAGGTTGCGTCTTTGAAGTGGGGGTGATGGTGTATGTGGAGTAACTTATTACTCATGCAGGTTATAATACACCTGTTTTTTCAATTATGGCAAAATATATAAAATATACTTTTAAACTATTTTCAATGTATAGTTCAGTAGTGTTAAGTACATTCATATAAATGCTTTTTTCACTCTTTTAAAATACATTTTATTGATTTTTTTACAGAGAGGGAGATAGTTAGAAACATCAATGAGAAACCACTGGGGATGCGCCAGCAACCAAGATACATTCCCTAGACCGTAATCAGGCTGACACTCTATCCACTGAGCCAAACCGGTTTCAGCATATAAATGCTTTTAATCTAATAAAACTGAAACTCTATACTATACCCATTAATTCCCCAATCTCTTCCCCCTACCCTTAATAACCACTATTCCGTTCTCTATCCCTTATGATTTTGGCTACCTAACATAAATGGAATCATGGAATATTTGTCCTTTTGTAATTGGCTTATTTCACTTAGCATGCTGTCCTCAAAATCAATTCATGGTGTAGCATGTTGGAATGTCCTTCCTATTTAGGCTGAAAAGTATTCCATTATATGTATACTAGAGGCTGGGTGGACGAGATTCTTGCACTGCCTCACTGGCACTGCACACACTAGGACTGTCCTGAGAGCTAAGAGTACAGCAGGTGGCACAGGGTGGAAGGTGGACGGACAGACAGGCACATGTGATTGTAGATAGAAGCCACTGTGAGAGGCAGGTGCTTTTCCCCTTTACCCACCAAGATAGAACTTGAAGGTGCTAATGCAGTGGAGTGGGGGCCTGTCTTGCATAACGCTGTGCTCCAAGCCTGTGAAGACCACAGCCAGAGCTCTGACAGAAGAGAAGTTATTCCAACTCACCAGGCCATAAGCAAAGTATCAGAACAGGTGCCACTTGGCCCTTCAGAAGCAGTCCCTACACATATGGATTGCCGGACACACCTTAGGCTCAAGTTCCCATTCCTCCACTTCAGCTCATCTTCATGTCCCACACAACTTCCATTGAAATCCGCATCTTTTAACATTTTGATGTTAAAAGTCAACAGTACAGGGACAAGACTGGGGCCTTAGCTGAGGATCTCACTTGTAGAGAAACCAGACCCTCTTGGTACCATGTTACCCACAAAGGGAACACTTGGCTGGGCTCCAGCCTCCCTCAGGGGTAGCAGAGGAACTTCCCAATTGCCACTTCTCAGCCAAGCAGGGACAGCCAGAGGATTATTTTCTGCACCAAAGCAAGCCCACATACAAGTCAGCACAGCAGAGGTGCAGACAAGCCCAGAGACATTAAAATAACTGGAAACTACTCTGGTTTAATCAACAAAAAAGGGAACTCAACTTGAAAAATTAGTATTTGTAATCTTGCCACAGATTATTCAATCAAATGAACAAACGGTAATGCTAAAATACAGGAAGTAGGATGCAACCCAGCATCTGAGCTGCCTTACAAGAACACCCTCATCCCCTGCCCAGCCCCCAGGACCCCCTAAGGAAAAACAGGCCCCACACCCATCCCTTATACAGACTGATACATGGAGACTACAGATTTATCACAAGTTGCCAACAGCACTTTATTTTTTCTTTTCAACATCCTGTTCTGCAGCTTCTTTGGCTCTTTTTGCCCGGATGCCAAAGAGCCGGGCGTTGGCACGAGCCATTCGGAGACTGGCAAAAGCCTTGAAGTTCTTCTCCTCCTCTGTGATGGCCCTGGCCTTCTCCTTCTTGTAGACCTAGAAGGAGCACAGGAGGTCAGTCTTGCTTACAATAAGGCCTGTGACAAGGCTCAGAACCCAAATGTCAGAACCTGGAGAGATCATGGAGGCCAAGGAAGATAACCTCGGATTTGGAAAAGGACCCCAACTCAGAGCAGATGCAGAAGCAAGCTCCTTAGACACGAAGGATGGGTAGTGTGCTGCGCTTGGACACAAAAGATCTGAGCGAAGGAAGGCTTGGGCCCACCTCCTCTCCCCCAGAGGAACCTTAAGGCGCCAGTTACTTGATGGGCAATTTACAAAAATCACCAAATACGCCATGAGCTTTCCAAACAGCAAGGAGGGAAAATGAACCCAACATGGAAGGATGAAAAGGAGATATGGGTCTCCAAAGTTTTCTCAAAGAGAAGACAAGGCCCTCCATCTTCAAGGATGCTCAAGGGGGTGGTTGAGAAATTGGGGGATATCTATTAATACTGTCAACAAATAAAGGGGGTAGGAGGAATGCAGGATGCTCTTGCCACCTTAAGCCTATCCCCACCCCAAGAAATATTCACTTGAGCATCATCCAAACACCTTTACTTACATTCCGTATGGGCATGACTGGTCCGGTCAGCTGTGTTGCCAATTTGAGTTCCTCAGCCTGTTTATGAATGAGAAGGGAGAATCAACTGGGCTCAACTCCTTTACCAACGGGCTCCAAGCCAGCCCTAGACCTCTCTCTCCCTGGGTGACTGTGCCAAGTACTGGAATGTCACCGAATTCCCGCTCTGACAGATGACAGATACTGGCACATGCACAAGCATCTATGTCTGTTCCAGAGATGCAGGCAGAGCAAACTGTCAACTAGAGCATAAAGCAACTCGCCAACACAACTCCCTGAAAGCCCATTTGGGTGGACACTAACTTTTTCTAGAATCCTAACTAGATAGCTTGTTTGGTTAGTGTCCTCCCCGACACACCAGGTTTGCAGGTTAAATTATCCGTCAGGGCACATATAAGAATCAACCATGGCCCTGGCTAATATGGGTCAGTGGTTAAAGCACAGGCCCAAGCAGGTTGGACAGGAGTATGTGGGAAGCAACCAATCGATGTGTCTCCCTCACATAGCTGTCTCTCTCTCCTTCCCTCCTTCTCTCTAAAAAACAAACAAAACAAAAAATGGGGAAAAACCCAAAATGCCTTTCTTTAGAAACATTTATGCTATTTATAAAGCATTTTAGAGCAAAACATTTCCAGTGTAAAAAAAGCTTCCCGACAAACAGCTTTTGCTATTACCACAAAACAAGGAAAAGCTCGTGTTTGAGGAACATGAGTGAATCTTGGCACATCTGATGGGTTAATTTGGGAATTCTTAGGATCTTTCTTCTCATTAACAATTCTTTACCACACAAACATGAAGACCAAGTTTGGGAGAACAAAAAGGCTACAGGCTAATATTTTCCTTTTCACCACAGCTGGACCCAGGGACAGACACCACTTACACAAGTCACCCGACCCTGCCAGTCTGCAGCCTCAGAGACCCTCCACAACCCTCACCGCCCCACCAGGAGCCTGGGGGGCTGTACTCACAGAACTGTCTCCCTTCTTGGGGGCCGAAGGCTTCCTGGGGAAGAGGATGAGCTTGGAGCGGTACTCCTTCAGCCGCTGCACGTTGGCCTGCAGGGACTCGGTGGACTTATTCCGCCGCCTCGGATCCACCGAGATCCCAATGGTCCGGGCCACCTTTTTGTGGATGCCAGCCACCTGCCCGCAGAGAGACACCAATGAAGTCCAAAGGAGTCTCTCATCTCCATACCCTAACCAAAGGGCTCAGTCGTCAGATGGAAAAGGGTTCAAATGTACTTTCATCAAGGCAGTACAGCGATTCCGGAGAATGTCATCATTTGACTGTGAGCCAATGAGGCAAATCTTATTGGGCTCTAATAATGCGTTTTTTCGGATACTCACCCGTAACTCTTCCAAGCTGAAGCCCCTGCCGGCTCGCACTTTGGTGTGGTACCTCACGGTGGGGCATCTCACTATGGGTCTGATGGGTCCGGACGCGGGGCGAGGGGCGATGCGGCGCGCCTTGGCTTGCCGGGCCTTGCGCCTGAGCAGACAGACAGACAAGCGGCAGTTACCACACCCTAAGGCCCATCTTCCCACTCGGGCGTCGGCTATCCGCACCACGGCGGGGACGTAGACAACGCCGCCCCCCTGCGACCCCAAGCCCAAAGTCGCCACCAGCTCGCCCTCGATCACATCATTACAACGTCGGCTCTAACGTGGAGCTGCAAGTCACGCGGTTATCACAGGGTTATGGGGTTCAAGTGCACTTGCACCCTAAGGTTACAGCGATATCGGACACCGTCGTCACTTGGCTGAGCACTCCACTCACCTGCGGATTTTCCGCGCCGGCTGGTTAAACCACGTGGCAACGCGCCGCTGCCAGTCCTTGTGGAAGTGGGGCTTTAGGATCATGCCATTTCGGCTGGGCGCCATGGCTGCTGCCTACGGGCCTACGGAGAAAAGCGAGTCAGGGCCCGAGCTCCGGGCGGACGGCGCGCCCACAGAGCCGGGCTACAGCCCGTGGCTGCCGTCTGTGGCGCGGCCCTACGCCGATGACAGCGGATGGAGCCCGATGGCAACGGATGGCCCCCACCAGCCATGGCCTTACACGTACCCACCTTCTCCGAAAGAGAACGGCCGGCGGAAAGAGAGCGGCGCCGCAAAGCACCCCGGGATGGCAGTGGGCCCGGCCAATCAGAAGCGATGGCGCGTCCTAACCAATCAGAGCCGGGAATACGGAAGTGATGTCACACACTCCCAGTCGCCCTCGCGGCCCTGGAGGTCCTAGGCGCTTTTCCCACGTTGGGAGAGAGCCGCGATTACGTGGATTCTGGGAACTCCTGGCAGCGCCGGGCCTTTCCAGCTTCCACCCTTACGGAACTCGCTACGCTTCCCCATGGGACACCTAAGGCAGCTTCTGTAAGCGGGCAGCCACTACTTCACATGCATTTAATCGTACAACTTCCTTTGGTCGGCGGAGGGAACGGGTAGCTTCTTTGAAATAGGGCAGCAGGTGGTGGCACCAGGAACCCTCGTGGCCACTGCCCCTTCACAGAGACAGACATCAAAAACATTAGGTATGCTGAAACCGGTTTGGCTCAGTGGTAGAGCGTCGATCTGCGGACTGAAAGGTCCCAGGTTCGATTCCGGTCAGGGGCATGTACTTTGGTTGCGGCACATCCCCGGTAGGGGGTGTGCAAGAGGCAGCTGGTCGATATTTCTCATCGACGTTTCTCGCTCTCTCCCTTCCTTTCGGTAAAAAATCAAAATATATTTTTTTAAAAACAAACATTAGGTAGCCAGGCATACATCTGTAATCTGTGCCCTGCGCGTCTCTTGTTCTCCAGGACAAGTATGGGAACTCAACATTCTGCTGCTATCTGTAGGCCTTAACATCCCAGTAACCCTTTCTTTCCCACCTTCACCCCAATTACCAGTCTTCCTCCGAGCAAAAACTAATTTTAAAATATCATGACACAAACCGAGAAATTTGGAGGCCTGTGTCCTGCACTAAGTAAACAGTTTGCTGATAAAGATTTCTCTATTGGGATATCCTGTTAGAAAAATCAGGTTTGGGGCTCACTGAGGAATTATGTTGTGATCAGAAGACAGAACGTGTGTAACAGATGAGGCACAATCTATTCAGACAAATATACTGAGCCTACATGGCAAGTTCAAACCCAGACTGCCATTTAATAGACATGCGTTTAATATGAATAAGGGCAATAGCAGCCGTGCTTAAAATTTATCAGGCCCCTTTCAATGAGCTCACCATGGACCAAGATACCTTGCTTTGTAATCTCAAATATTCCTATCTCCAATTTCTCTTCTGGACAAACCCAGACTCATGAAGCTTCATCTGCCCTAACCCTCCCCTCCACCTGAGCTCCAGCTGCACCTGGTAATGAAGCTGCTGTCAGGGTCACTGGATGGGGGGTAGAGGTCTGAAGTTGCAAACTGTTCAGTATATACTTAGTGGTCTAATAAGGTGAAGTTATCATTTGAGGACCTCACTCTACTGCACATAAAGTTAAACATATCCAATTTTTCTTTTAATTACTGTCAAATATTTTTTTTATTGATTTCAAGAGGAAGGGAGACAAAACATCAATGATGGGAATCATTCATTGGCTGCCTCCTGAATGCCCTCAATTGAAGATCAAGCTCACAACCCCGGCTTGTGCGCTGACTGGGAATTGAACTGTGACTTCCTGTTTAATAGGGCAAGCACTGAGCTACACCAGCCAGGGTAGAATCCAATTTTTCACAATTGAATACTCCATACTTCCTTCGAAAAGTATGCAAAATACCGAGCCAAACAAATTTTTGATGGGAAAATTTTGCTGAAAACATGCTCAACTTTCCCACTGGGAAAGGTTAAAGAAGTGAACTGTCATGCAGGAATCCTTCTGATACAGAGACTTAGCTGGCTCAAGGGTTTTACCTTTAACTGTAGTGACAGCCCATCCCTTAGCACAGCCTCTGGACAAAAAAGAGCTAATGCCCCTGGAAGCAGAATTCAACTAAGGGAGACTAACCCTAACCCTAACAACCCTAACCTTGCACACCCAGGATTTCCTTGCAAGACCGAGCCCCAATTACTCATGGCAGTGCCTGCTCATTGCATACCTGCACCTGACCGGCCTCCTCCATCTGGTGCTTTGAGGGTCAACCTCAAAGAAATCTAATCTAAGACAGTCAGCAATAGCTTCTGGAACCCTTTTCGTCACACAGTCTTGATTTATTTTTAAAATTAGTATCATAGCCCTACCTGGTTTGGCTCAGTGAATGTCGGCCTGTGGACTGGAGTGTCCGAGGTTTGATTCCAGTCAAGGGCACAATCAATAAAAGTTTAAATACACTTTTATTGATTAAATATGTTTTTATTGATTTCAGAGAGGAAGGGGAAGAGAGATAGAAACATCAACGATAAGAGAGATTCATGGGTTGGCTGCCTCTTGCAGGGCCCCCTACTGGGGATGAGCCTGAAACATAGGTATGTGCCCTTGACAGGAATCAAACCCCAGACCCTCCAGTCCGCAGGCTGACACTTTATCCACTGAGCCAAACCAGCTAGGGCAAAAAAGGTTAAAATAATAATAATAATAACAACAACAATAATAATATCATAGCAACAAAGTGATTTGACAGTGGGGGAAAAAGTCCTATCTCTGGCATTTTGCAAAACAGCATATTAACTTTGTCATATCAATTTGGACTGATGACTAAATTAGGCAAAGCAATAGCCTAATAAATGATCACAACAGTATAGCCCAGCTGGTGTAGTTCAGTGGTTGAGCATCGATCTATGAACCAAGACGTCATAGTTCTATTCCCAGTCAGGGCACAGGCCCAGGTTGTGGGCTCAGTCCCCAGTGTGGGGCATTCAGGAGGCAGCTGATCAATGATTCTCTCTCATCATTGATGTTTCTACCTCTCCTCCCTTCCTCTCTGAAATCAATAAAAAATATATTTTAGCCGAAACCGGTTTGGCTCAGTGGATAGAGCGTCAGCCTGCGGACTGAAAGGTCCCAGGTTCGATTCCGGTCAAGGGCACGTACCTTGGTTGCAGGCACATCCCCATGGTGGGGGAGGGGGGGTGCAAGAGGCTGCTGGTCGATGTTTCTCTCTCATCAAGGTTTCTAACTCTCTATCCCTCTCAATTCCTCTCTGTGTACAATCAAATATTTATATATATATATATATATATATATATATATATTTTTTTTTTTTTTTTTTTTTTTTTTTTTTAAAGAACAAGATAATGTTACACAGCTTCATCACAGGACTTATCACCATTCCGTCTATCCACTTTCCAAAATCATGGCCTGCACATAAACCAGATAAAGGTTAACTCAAAGGTTCCTGTAATATGAAAAAATACTTCAATGAAAGACAACTGGAAGTACATTAACATCATCACAAATGTTTTGTTTGAAAGCTGCTGAAAGTCAATAAGTTGTCATCACAAGAAAAAAAGACTCTGGCCCTAGCCGGTTTGGCTCAGTGGATAAGAGCATTGGCCTGCAGACTGAAGGGTCCTGGGTTCGATTCCAGTTGAGGGCACATGCACAGGTTGTGGGCTTGATCCCCAGCAGGGGGCATGCAAGAGGTGGCCGATCGGTGATTCATCACTGATGTTTCTATTTCTCCCTCTCCCTTCCTCTTTGAATTCAATTAAAAAAACTGTTTATAAAACAAAAAAAGACTAACTGTTGATGTTGACTTACTGTGCCAATCACTTTGCAATATATATAAATATTGAATCATTACATTGTACACTTAAAACTGATGTACTAGTATGTCAATTATACCTCAAAAAAATAAAAAATTTAAACAGAAAACACATTTATGAGTATATCAGAGTGAAGAATAATCTGTATTGATTTAAGAACTACAAGTTATTTATTTATTTGATATATTTTATTGATTTTGTACAGAGAGGAATTGAGAGGGACAGAGAGTTAGAAACGTCGATGAGAAACATCGACCAGCTGCCTCTTGCACACCCCCCACTGGGGATGTCCCCGCAACCAAGGTACATGCCCTTGACCAGAATCGAACCCAGGACCTTTCAGTCCGCAGGCCGACGCTCTATCCACTGAGCCAAACCAGTCCCAGCCAAGTTATTTATTTTTAAAAAATATATTTTATTGATTTTACACAGAGAGGAATTGAGAGGGATAGTTAGAAACGTCGATGAGAGAGAAACATTGACCAGCTGCCTCCTGCACACCCCCCACTGGGGATGTGCCCGCAACCAAGGTATATGCCCTGGACCGGAATCGAACCCCAGACCCTTCAGTCCCCAGGCCGACGCTTTTCCAGAGCCAAACCGGCTTCAGCTACAAGTTATTTTTAATTATTCTCTGAGGCTCTAATTGTGTAAATGTTTATTTAGGGAACATGTGTTTGTCTCAATGAGGAGATTAACACATGACTTAGTTTCAGAAGTTATAATCAGGCCAGGATATACTGCCTCTGCTGGGTGAGGGCAGAGGGTCAGAGTTTTGTTCCCAGCATCAAGCACACAGGTTGCCTGGTTTGGTCTGACTGCTCTAGGGACCATGTACTGTTGAAGCCTCTTCACCTTTAGGATCCTCTTTTTAATGATGGAGAATCTTTGATCCACTAGTCCCTACATACCTTCCCCTTCTAGATTGAGCCAGAAACCTGGGCATGTGCTCTGATTGGGAACTGAACCATGACCACCTGGTTCATAGGTCAACAGTTAACCACTGAGCAACAAGGGCTGGGCTAGGATCCTCTTTAAAGGAGGGGAGTCCTGGCCGGTGCTCTCAATGGTTAGAGTATCATCCCACGCAATGAAGGGTCTCAGGTTTGATTCCCAGTCAAGTGCATGTGCCTGGGTTATAGGTTCCATCCCCAGCCCTGGTTGGGGCTCATTTGGGAAGTAATCAATGTTTTTCTCT